GAAAGTTCGTCGTGGTTCTGCTTTCAACATATCTCAAGGACTAATTAAATCCTCATTACTGCCTTCTAATTATTCAAATACTATGGGATTACACTAGGAAGTCCCTGCTGGCACCCCAGATGAAAAGGGTTAAATCACCTACGTCGATTCTGAGAATCCAGATCTAGTTCAGGCCTTCAGAAAACCACCAGCATTACTATGAATATTTAACTAGACACCACTGTGAAAATTAAAAGGGAATTCAATTAAAAGGTTTTCAAAAAATTAATTCTGACCTCTCTACATCTGTCCAAATAAATAAGCCTTCTTGAAACGTTTTCACCTAATTGCTAATCCAATAACTAGAAGGGCATTTGCTAGTTTCATTAAGCTTAACATTTTACGGGGGTTAAAAATGCAATCATTTTAATGTTAATAATAATTATACTTATTTATCTACTCAGATGACTGAGTAGATAGTCCCTCCAAGCCCTTGTGGAAAACAGGGCAACACATTAAGAAGCTATTTCCTACTGCTCTTCTCCAATTTTAGGATATATAAGGTGAAGATTATACAAGAAGCATAAAAGTAACCTAAACTTGTTAGCTAGAATTTTCTCCTAACATTTATTTTAGTATTTTAGCATTATCTGGATGCTTCCTCTAATGCCTTAGGTCGCATAATTTATACTGCTGGATTTTTTGGTGAAGGGCTTTAATAGCAATTCTTCATGTTGTTATATGAGGACTACAGAAAGAAAATTTACGATAAAAACCAGTGGCGAAGGTGTTACAGAATATTAAACTGAAGTTTTGACCTTTCTTCTTTTAAACTTATCTCAGTAATGAAGCAAAGAATTTGAACTTTTTCTTTATTCGGCTAGTAGGAAGTTTTAGCACCACACGAAGTGTAAACAGGAGATACTAACTGAGGTGCTGTATGGGAGACCAGATGAGAGTATTAGAGACACTACAGGAGAGTAAAGAGCCAATAAATATCTAAATGTTTCCCTTCTTTTTGTACCTGGGGGCAATGGACATATCCACATTTACTTGCATATATACCTTTTATGGATAGAAAATAGAAAACTGCAGAAAGTTATGTTTGCCTACATACGATGTATGGAAATGGATTTGTGATCGATGGCCTTAGACAAACTTGATCCCAGAACTACCAGGTCAGAGCAGAGGGCGCTGCTGGGCTACCAAGTATCTGGGCAGCATACCAACTCTGCACCCAATTTTGGGAAGAAGACATGGCCTTGCAAATTCCAGTATGGTTCAGATCCCAGGACAGCTTCATGTTTGCAAAATTCTTAACAGAGTATATAATTTATTAATACACATTCTTCCTGAACAGGAATCCCAGAACCAAGTGGGAAGGAATAATAGCAGGGCAAGAGTTCAGCTTCCTGAGTTTACAGGGAGCCAGGCTTCAAGGTAGAGTTCTTGGTACTGCTGTCTTACCTAAGGACTCTGGGAAATATCCAGAAAACCACACCTCCAAATAGAAGCAGGCTGCATCTCTTTGTGCAATTACCTCCAGGCAAGTGTCTTTCTAGATTTTCTGCTATTAAAGAAAACCTATCCCCTGTAGATACATTAAAGAAGATGTGTGTAACTGGAAACTTACTCTCCTATTTTACTTGTTAAAACGAAGTTAAGCATAAAGGAATTGCTCAACTTGGTTATTTTGGTACTTAGCAGTATAGAAGCTATGTTCTTATCTATCAAGGTCCACAGTTTCTGAGAGAATTTTTTTTTAATTTTTAATTTTTTTTTGAGAAAAAAATTTTTTTAAAGAAGATATGGGGCAGCCTGGGTGGCTCAGTGGTTTAGTGTCTGCCTTCAGCCCAGAGCCTGATCCTGGAGACCTGGGATCACGTCCCACGTTGGGCTCCCAGCATGGAGCCTGCTCCTCCCTCTGCCTGTGTCTCTGCCTCTCTCGGTCTCTCTCTGTCTCTCAAGAATAAATAAATCAAATCTTTAAAAAAGAAGAAGAAGAAGAAGAAGAAAATATGAACTCACCAATATACTTTTTCCCCTCTCTGCTTCCTTTCTCACTTACCTCAAGAGGGGTGAGGGAATATATCAAATGTAAAGATATAAATTATTTTTCAATACATGGGAGACAACACGGGAATTTTCCAGGAAGTGTTTTCTCAAATCTACTTTGCACTGTAAATTCTGTTGGTACACACCCAATGATGATGTCTGTTTTATCATCAGACAAGAAAAATGTTATATTCTATCAAAGCATTGTAATGATTGTGTCATTTGCCACTGAAACACCTGATCAAGTATCATTAAGAACGAACATTTCTTTCTAGATTTTAACAAATAACAAAGCCATTAAAAAAATCCTTGCTATCCAATTCTGGAGAAAATTTAAGTCATGCACGTGCAACAGTATCGTTTACCAGCTCTTTGGAAATACTAGGTTTTCTTGCTTAGGGGGCTGTCCAACCAACAAAAGGCACACAAAGGGACACACATAACATCTTTAGCAGGCTTTCAGAGAAAGTTTGGGAAACATGTTCATAAAAATCAATTCAGATTAAGCAAATTATAAAATGTGTATTTGCTATCTGAAGGAAATGGTCATTGTAACTACCCAGATTGTTATGTATCCATTACAAGTTACTAAAACCACACTACCTATCATGAGGGTTTTTAGAGGGGAAAAAAACCCCACACATATTTATATCATGGTTTTTATACAGTGACATCAGAAGAAAACTCTAGATTTTGTTTACCAATGTATTTGTTTGAAAGTTTTTTAAAAAAGATTTATTTATTTTAAAGAGTAAGAAAGGGGCAGCAGAGAGGGAGGACTCCATGCTGAGCATGAAGCCTGACACAGGGCTTGATCTCAGAAGATCTGAGATCATGACCTGAGCCAAAACCAAGAACTGGATGCTTAACAGACTGCACCACCCAGGCACCCCTGTTTAAGTTAAAAGTTTAATTTAGCTATGCTTCCTCATCGTGTCATTGTCGTTCACATTTGGCTTTCTACATTTTCAAATTTCTTAAACATGTATCAGTTGGAAGAGGTTGGGGGACATGCTGCTGGAAGATCTAGGAGAGGTTTCTCTCTTTTAAAGGTTCTTAGCAATAAAGATTAGAATTGCAGGGTTTCCAAATAAGGAACCTCTTGCCCTTGAATGCTTGCCTAAGAAGCAGGACTCTACTGATGGGAATGGTGTTACAGGGTTATAGTGAGGATTAAAGGAATGACAAATAGTTTCTTCATCTTAGTTCTGGGTCTGGCCTGAGCAGGTTTTCAGTGCAAGACAATTACTCTGATCCTTTATTTTTTCCACTTCCCTGACCCAGCAACACAATGTAGCCCAAGGAGTTTGGAGAGAATTCCTCCCTGTATGGTGCTAGTATGCTCTCCATGAACTTTGAACTGTCTTCTAGATGACCAGAAGCCCAACGAGTTAATACAGAAAAAGGATGTACGGTACCAGACTGGTTCATAGGGGGTTACGGTGGAAAGTTTAGAGAAAAAGATGTACAGACCACACAATTATAAGAACATATTATAGTATCTTTATAAGGCAGTGGTTCTCAAAGTAGAGTCCTCTGATCAGCAGGATCAGCAATAGCTGGGAACTTGTCCAAAATGCAGATTTTAAGCGGCCTACCACAAGCCCTACTGAGTCAGAAATCTGGGGATGTGGCCCAGAAATCTCTTTTAACCGTTCTCCAGGTAATTCTCATATACTCTGAAGTTTGAAAACCATTAACTATCCCATTATTAAGACATATTTGTAGTATTTCAATAAAGGAATTAATGTGCTAGCTATATATTAAAGTATAATACATAGAGTTAAATATGTAGAGATATTAGAAAATAAAAATCTCATTTTATTCCTACTAAACATTCATTTCAACACAAATGATATGTAGCTAGGGCTAACCCATCTTTTTATTGGCATTACTTTCTAAATAACGAGGTGCTGAGTTATTAAACATGAAATAACTAAAATCTTATAATTCTAATGAGAAGCAAATCGTCATCTGTACAACTCATACAGGAATAATTATAAACATGAGGAGTTGGGAACCTTTAAATAGCAGCTACCAAGCCAGCACTTCTGTCTTCTGGGTGAGCATGGGGGAGGAAGACTGAAAGTGGCATGCTCCCCGGGCGGGATGGGTGAGCCTCCAGTCACGGGAAGTGGGAGGTCCCTTGGCACAGCACCAGGTGGTGCAGTAGGCGTGTAAACCCTGGTCCACACTATTCTGAATTAAATCACCACCAATAAAAGTAGCTTCACTACAGAAGGAGAGAAGTAGACAGAGTTAAACAAAGGAAGGCCAAAGGTCTCAACCAAGGCAATAATATGTGGGGTCAACATGCCCGAATGAGCTGAAGATCAAAGCGGACAGATGTGGGACAATCTACATGTTCACGGGCTTCAGGAAAAGAAAGCCTTCTTTCTTCTGGCTCTGGCACTGACTAGCCTCTGAGAATGAGAAAGTCCTATGGAACCTCTCTGGTCCTCAGATTGTGGACTCTACAATCTCTCAGGTTGGCTCTAGGTTCTAAGAGATTATAATGATATAATACAAGGTCTTACTATGTGTTTAAATCTTTACTGTTTAAGTATCCTGGGATAAATTATTAATCAAAATGCTTAAACATACACACACTCTAACATTTTACTTCATTAGGACGAATATCCAAGTTGCATCATTAATAGTCACTTTTACACAGCTAGATCAATTGTCAGGCTACAGTCATGTATAAACTATGCTTCATGGTGCTATGTGGACATTTATACTCATTGGGTCTTGAACTACGTTTGGTAAAACGTCACCTAATCTGCAAGAAAGCATCCTTCTTTTCCATATTTGTGGTTGTATGTATGTTTTTATTTTGTTCATCTGATGAAGAAACAGAGTATCCTTTAAGAATCATCTATAAGGAGACGCACAGGTGACCAAATTCATATAAGCCTTACATACTGAAAACACAAAGATATAGAAGATAGGAACTGAAGACTAACCTCTTTCCTGTGGCATTGGTGACTGGCTCAAGGCAGGATGGGAACTGGATTCTGACTGGCTCCCAGGTGGCTGAGGAGGCATCTGACTGCCTGTAAAACAGGAAGGGAAGTGGGGATGGGGAACCCTCTACGTTAATATTGCAATTGTGTAAAATCAAGACACAGTTTCATTTATAAATCTTAATGATTACCAAAGGAATGGCCCCATATAGAAAAAGATATCGCATGCTATATTGCCCCTTTCTGGTAAAATGAGGAAGAAACATAGATAATCATTTTCAGCAAATGACCCCCTGAGAAGTTTCATTTCTTGCTGAAGGAGTTCCCAAACTCACAAATAAATTAGCAGCAGAAATCTGACATATGTTTTAATGCATTTAACAAAATCTAAGACTAGTAAACTGAACTCCCCCTCCTGAGTTTAAACTAGTTTCTAAGTGGCCAGGCATGCATAATGGCCAACAAGTTTTCGTTGGTAATATTTATTCAATGTAGAAATATCAACCAATTTCTAAAAAGAATCTTTATAATTAATCAGAGATGTAACATAAACACAGATGACCTCCATGAAAAAAATGTAAAATATACTATAGGGTAGCCCTGGTGGCTTAGAGATTTAGCGCCGACTTCGGTCCAGGGCGTGATCCTGGAGACCGGGGATCGAGTCCCACATGGAGTCTGCTTCTCCCTCTGCCTCTCTCTCTCTCTCTCTCTAATAAATAAGTAAATCTTTAAAAAAGAATTAAAAAAACATACTATAACACTAACATATATTAGCACTAAAGAGAGACATATTATTCTGCACCTCTTTTGATCTTTATTTCTAATAAAGCAACAGCATCTATTAACATCTATTAACATCTATTTGATTCCATTTATTTAACGTGTACTAAGTTGTTTTTTCAAACTTTAGTGTAAGCTCCCTGAGACAGGAATCTTTAATCCCTTCATTAGCATAATAATACAACTTTGTTATTTAATGGCTCTTAATCTGAGAATATGAATTAAGGGAAAAGATACTTCTTATTTTTATCAATTAAACGGAGACAATGAGTCATGTGAAGGCAGGAGAAGGGATTTTTAAACTTAAGAATCACCAGAGTACCTGAGTTCTCAACTCACTTTCGGGTTCAGAGGTTTAGATACATTTTGACTAAGGATATTATTGAAGAAGGCAGTTGAATTTAGCACAATCCTCAAGGTGCTAGCTCTCAGGGCATGAACATCCTGCTGTTTTATCTTCTAATCTCCTCCTTTGTTTAAATAAACTGAAAGACTAAAATATACAAATAGACACATCTACATGGTGTGCACACACATACGTGCAAGCATATACAGGTCTCCCCACATAGCCCTTGGGTTACCACAGTCTATGATATTGCTAGGTCAAGCTAACTGCTTTGACATCACAGGACCTACTTCTCTACAGTTCCGTATACTGCTGCAAGAATCACAACTGAGTAGAGAAGGAAACTCATGTATTGAAGATTACCACCAGTTCACCTGGTGAAGGTCATGCTGCAGAGTCTGGTGATTTACCCTGAACTTCTACCCTCTCATGTTTCTAACCAATGGTATCTGTTAGGCCAGGCAGCCTGACTACTGACCAGGAGGAGCAGGGTCCCCTGAGTCTCTCAGGACTGTCACTCATTACTAATTCTAATAAAGGTTGTATCTGTGACAGCTAGAGAGGCAGGAAGATGATTTTCCATTTAGATAATACATACACATAGTTGTTAAAATATAATGATAAAAAAAATCCTGAAATTGTTTGTGGGAGTTTAAGCTTCTCACTTTTAGAAAAGAGAATGTATGTAAAACCTCTGAATTTGTTTCTCAGTGCTTCTGGGTTCAAATGCCATCCTCATGCTCAGTGAAACTAAGACCCGAATGTACAGACGCTGAGAAACGTGGCGCTGTGAAACCACCAAGAGTAGCTCGTAAGTTATAGCCACATCTAGTGTATCAAACACAGAGAAAAAGGGTCCAGCCTCTATCCAGCCATTCATTTTACTCCCAGACATTTGTAGTAAATTAGTGTTAGCACCAAATAATTACACGTAAAGTTAAAAAAACCCAATATTCTGGCTGAAAACAATTTCAAGGATAAGCACTAATCATCAGCTTCGCAGTGGACACACAAAAGTTGCTGTGTCTACTCAGGGTCATGTGCTCCCTATGAAACGCCCTTAGGCTCCCAATCTGCAGCCCATTTAGAAATGGAAAGCACTCTGCAGCCAAATCCTGACTTTTTAAAATGTCAGTGGGGAATCAGCTGTGCTAAGACAGTAAGTGCTTACATTATAATGATTGTTTCTGTATGACAGACCAAATTCAGAGCCTCGTGACAGCAAAACAAACAGTAATTCTACGTTAATACAGGACACCACTACTTACACTATGCATGCCCAAGGCACTGCTCTCATGTACAATATATCAAGTAAAAATAAAAAAGGCCGTAAGAAAACCATCTCATGAATTCATAAAATACTGCCATATCCAAGCAGCACTACTGCCTGTCTGGTGCAATCCTAAGACAACACCCCTTTACAGCAATGAGAAAATTTATTATTAAATCTATCCTTTAAAGAAATGAACAAGAGCCTTTTCATGGTAAAGACAGATTAGAGCAAACTGCTTTATGTTCTCCAAGTGCTTTTACCCCCTATCTTTCCACCAATCGTTTCATAGTTGCCAAGAAATAACTTCATCCTCAGTATGTATAGGTAGAAGCACAGTCATAGTAGACAATGAATCAGAAAATATGTCTGAGAAATATAACATAGGATTTGTGTCCATGGTCCATATAAAGAAGACAACTCAGAGCTCCCTGAACCAAATGAATTCAGTAAATACCCTCAAAACCATAGATTTTTATAGGACATATGTTTTTTCTAAGTAAAGCTTTTTAAACAAAATTTGGTAATTATTTTAAAGGAGAATATTGCCATGCATAGTGAACAAACAAACTTTATGGGAAGGCTTTAGCATTAAAGCAGAATTTTGAAAGAAAGCCATTTCCCCCTTGTCTATGTCTATTATGATGCAAACACAATGGAAAAAACATTACAACTGGAAAAAACCATGCTGAGTTAGAATAAATCCCACCACTTTACAGCTACATATTTATTCTCCAATGACCGTGTACACAATATTGTGCAAAATCTTGGTGCAACAAAATAAAAATGAAGGATTAATAAGTCACCTGAATTTCTTTTTATTTTATTTTATTTATTTATTCATGATAGACATAGAGAGAGAGAGGCAGAGACACAGGGAAAGGGAGAAGCAGGCTCCATGCAGGGAGCCCGATGTGGGACTTGATCCCAGGACTCCAGGATTGGGCCTTGGGCCAAAGGCAGGTGCTAAACTGCGGAGCCACCCAGGGGTCCCTGTCACCTGAATTTCTACTGTTGCCAACTTAAAACTCTCAGAAGTCTTTACCAAGATTTTTTTATTACAAACTTTTAATTAATTTTACACTTAAAAGTTACAAAAGCAGTACACTGAGTTTCTATATATCCCTTAGCCCATCTCCCTTAGTGTTCACATCTTATATAACCATAATAGAATTATCCAGAAGCATTAACATGGTACCACACTATTAACTAAAGATCTTACTTGAAATTCACCATTGTTTTTCTTCCATTCTAGGATCTCACATTGCATTTAGCTATTTCTCCTTGGTCTCCAGTCTATAAAAGACCCTTAGTCTTTCCTTATGTCTTATGACCTTGACGTTTTGGGAGAATACTGTTCATGACATTGATCGGCTTCATTTCTCGTGCTGTTTACCCTGATTACTTGGTAAAGGTCGGTGTCTAGTAAGTCCCTCCAATATAAAATTACTATTTTGCCTTTTGTAGTTGTATCTTAGGGAAGATATTTCAGACTATGCAAATCCCGTGTCTCTCAAACTTGCATGCACTAACTTCAGCATCCATTACAGACCGCTGTCTAACATTTATTATAGTACTGTTTGTAATAATGATTCTTTATTCTTTCTTTCCTTCTGCATCTATTAATGGAAATCTATTGTGAGGAAGAACTACCTCTTCTTCCCCATTTATGTATTTATAAGGCTATTTCTTTCTATCCATAAAAACTCATTGTAGAAGACACACTACAGGACGACTTCCAGCAAGTCACATCCTTGTGTAATCCCCATCTCTTGATTGAGGACAAAATCTGTGATTTTGCTTTAACCAAAGAATATAACAAAAGTGATGAAATATCACTCCTAAAATTATGTTCCATGGCAAAGCTAGAGGCATTTTACAGATATAATTAAAGTTCCTAATGGGCTGGCTGTGAGATAATCAAAAGAGTGATGATGCTGTGTAGATCTGACTTTCAAAGAGGACCCAGGCTTCTCTGAGCAGACCAGTGCTTCCAATGGCCTTGAAGAAGTAAGCTCCCGTGATATGAACCAAACCACATGGCAAGGACAGGCAGCCTCCAGAAGTTGAGAGCCTCACTTCTACAACCCTAGGAAATTAATTTTTCAAATTAATTTTCCCAACAATCTGAAAGAGATTGGAAGCAGATTCATCCTAGTTTAGCCTCCAGATGAGAAGACAGACCATCTAACACTTTGCAGCCTTATGAGGCACTGAGCAGAGGACCTATCTAGGCTGTGCTTGGATGCCTGGCCATGGAATTGTGAGATAGTGTATGTGTGTTGTTTTAAGCCTTGTGGTAATTTGTGAAAACAAAAAACTATTACTCTCATAGATATTTATTTTATTCCATGGGTAATATCCAACATTGACATTATTTTGTTGCTAAGTTGTTCTAGCTTTGACCATCAGAAGCTCCTGCAAATCCTTAGTTTTTAGAATCATAAGATACTGCAGGCTATTTTGCATTTTTTCTGACCCAGACCTGTAATCAACCACTTCTCTGAGGAATGCTATTTCTTTTTACTGGAAGATGATGCTCACAGACTAAGACCTGGGCACTAGGTCTGCTCATTATTTCTGGGATGTTATTACTTCTAGATCGTCTCAGTGAACAGAAGTAGGAAATATATGTATGTACACTAACTTATATGTATATGCATATGTATGTTTCGGTATTATGTGTGTAAC